CGCCGCCTCCGTGCGTACACGTCACACGTCGGCGCCCGTGACTTCCCAGTGACCGCTCCGCCTCCCTCTCCACTCGCGGTTGTGGGGCGCTGGGTTGTGGAGTCTGTAGCGTGGAGCCCCAGGCTGTTTCTCCGTGTCGTCCTCACAGCAAGGACTGTAGTGCCGGCATTGCGAGGCTGGAGGACGCCGCAATCAGGTAGCCTCCTGGGCTCAAATGCCGCCCTCTGTCCTCCCGAAGCCGCTAGCCGCGTAAAGTTAACGGAGTGGCAAGCCCCGCCGCCGCCCTTCGTTTCCAAGGGGCGCAGAAGCCAGTGTGTTTGTTTCGTGGGAGGTAGTGTGGATTTGCCCCAAAGGGCGTTGCCCAACGCAGCGCGAAGTCAAGTCTGAGGGGTCCATCGGAGGCTGGCGGCAGGTGTGGGAGTCTCCCGGTCGCCCCTTTCTGATTGAGTTGGGAGCAGCTGCTGGATAGACAGACTTGCGGAATGGTGCCTCTGCCTTATTAAGTCCTATTGGAAGACTGCCACACCTAGACTAATGTTTATCGATCATCATTCCCACGCAAGTCCTGTGTCATTGAGGTGAGTTGCACTTGAGGAAAGCAATAGCATGCAAAAGAGTAAAATCTTCCTGAAAACGAGAAGACTGCTTTGACAGAGGTTGCACGCTTACCTATTTGCGTGGGAAATACCGTCATCTCATTCCAGCCCCAATTCTCTGAGGAATAGAGCAGTCTGTATCCGAAGGAATCATTTGACTTTATTTTAAAAGTTGTGCTGATAATGGAATGAAAATGATCATAATAATTTTGGATCGTGCATCATTTCAATTGCTTAAACAGTTGTCTCTGCTCTTAAATTAGTTATTTCTGATCTTAATTGTGGGGTTGGGGGGCGGAGAGGTGAGGTAGCAACTGATAACTCTGAAATACTAGATGACAATTTCCATTATTTGACACAATTTCTGTACATAAGGCATTTAAGTTATGCTTTCAGAATTCTTCATGACTAATTTTCTTACCTCTTTTAATAGATAGGCCAGGTCACTATGAGAATTGAATCACTGCAGTAGGTTTAGGTTTCTTTTTAAATTTAATGTCTGCCCCCAAGAAGCAGACTTTAAAAAAAAATCGTCTTGGTAAGTAACATTATAAATGTTTGTGAAGGATTAAAAGCAAAATTCAGTACTAACTAATGACAACCTTTTCTTATCAGGCAGCAGTGTTGTCAATTGTCAAGTTAATGGAGGGAAGCCAAATACATAGAGAAATAACCTTTTGTTTCTAGTGTTGATTTGTATGGTGGTAGAGAGATCTCACTTAAAATTGCCCATTTTCCTAGGTGAAAAGTACGGAACCTGCGTTGTAGGAAAAATCCGTACAGTAAGACTTAGCATTTGGGGTTTAATAAAGATACGGACCGTGGCTAAGGAGTTCTTTTGAGGTCAGAGTAATATAAGAATACATTGACATTGAACTCCAGGTAAAATTTACTCCATCTCATCTGTTTTTTAACCTAACCAGGGAACATGGCACCCTTTTATGAATATACTTTTAATTTACATGTTGGTGGTTTCCACCAAAACCCAAACCAAACTCCCTGCCATCAAGTCGATGCTGACACATAGCGACGCCATAGGGCAAGGGCGAACCGCCCCTGGGAGAGTCTGACTGTCACTCTACTGGCGGGGGAAGCCTTGTTTTCCTCCCACAGGCGCTGGTGGGTTTGAAGTGCTGACTTTGCAGTTAGCAGTTCAATGCGTCCCTGGTTTCCTTCCATAAAAGCTTTTCGTTGTTGTCTGAATGAATATACAGAAAGGAGAAGCAAAATGAGTAGTTTGAAAAAATTCTAGTAATCTCTTTCACTTTCTTCATTTCCAAGTCATGAGAAAGAATCCAGCAACTTTCCTCACTGAAAAGATAAATTCATGTCTACCACAATTTAGAATGCTATTTATAGTTTGCAACTGTATTAATTGGTTTTAACAATCTCATAAGGACATCTTGAACCTTTTGATCTTATCTTTTTTTTTATTTTTTAGGCCAATCTCCCATCAAATATCTGAAACAGCTGATTAGGACTTTATCCTTTCAACAACTGTTTCAGATTTGTGGGGATACAACTTTTGAATACTCCAAAGTTTTTCATTATGTCAAACGTTGCTTGCTTAAAACTTTGCTTGGTCTTAAAGAAATCGTTTTTTAAATAAATCATTTTATTGAGGACTCTTACAACTCTTAGAACAATCCATACATCAGTTGTATCAAGCACATTTGTACTTATGTTGCTATCATACTTTCCAAAACATTTCTTTCTACTTGAGCTCTTGGTATCAGCTCTCTTTTTCCCTCTCTCCCCCACCCTCCCGCCATCGTAAACCCTTGATAATTTGTAAATTATTTTTATTTTCATATTTTATACCGTTTGCTGTCTCCCGTCACCCACATTTCTGTTGTTTGTCTGCCTGGGGGGGTGTTATATGTTGATCATTGCGATCGATCCCCCCTTTCTCTCTCATCTCCACCACCCTCTTTCCCTCACCATCATGGTATTGCTACTTTCATTATTGGTCCTGAGGGGTTTATCGGTCTTGGATTCCATGTGTCCATAGTTCTTATCCATCAGTGTACATGCTCTGGTCTAGCCAGATTTGTGAGATAGAACTGGGGTCATGATAGGGGTGGGGGGGGAAGCATTATAGAACTAGAGGAATGTTTATGTTTTGTCAGTGCTATACTGTACCTTGGCTGGTTCGTCCCTTCCTTGTGATCCTTCTTTGAGGGGATGTCTTTGGGTCTCCATTCCGACCCCCCTTGTTCACATTGAAATGATTGTTTTGGGGTCTTCCCATGGCTGATTCCTGATCCCATCGACACCTTGTGATCACATGGGTTGGTGTACTTTTTCCATGTGTAAGGTGACCAGATTTTAACATTGGTAAAGCGGGACAAAAGCGGGACACCATTGATAAAACTCATATCCTGGCGAAATAGCCACATGGCAGCCCAAAACCGTATACCCTAGCTTGTCGTGCATTCTTTCCAAAAATTGGGACTTTTTAAAAGCGCTGTGGGACACAGGAAAATTGTTAAAAATTGGGATGTCTGGTCACCTTATCCATGTGGGCTTTGTTGCTTCCCTGCTAGATGGCCATTTAACCTCAAGCCTTCACTCCCCAGACCCTAAATCTTGTAATAGTCTGGCACCATCACCTTTTTACCACATTAGCTTATGCACCCATTTTGTCTTCAATGATCCCTGTTGGAAAGGTGAACATCACAGAATGCCAGCTTATTAGAACAAAGTGTTCCTGCATTGAGGAAGGACTTGTGTAGAGGCCCAATGTCCATCTGCTACCTTCATACTTAACCTATAAATATATGTACATAGACCTGAGTTAGTTAATTGTGCCAACCTGGCTGATAAACACATGTGGGGCTAATTGAAAGGCGGAGGGATAAATGGGTGGTGAGCCTCGCCTTTCTAGTTCTCGGGTCTCTTGCTTTGTGATGGTCGCACCAGGGTGCAGCTGCCTTAGCAGTTCCCTGCTTCAGCTTGCAAGATTGACTTCCTACAAGACATCCCCAAGGAGAAGCCACATGGACCTATCCCGATGCAGCCCTAGGTGCTGGAGCAGCCGTGTGGAGACCCCTGCTAGTGCTGAGATGCTTATTCGCTTACTGACTCAGCTTTCCTCCTGCAGTTGGCATCATTGCCTCTGTTTTGTGAGGTGGAGGACTTTGTGGACTGGTGTTGGGTTAATGGGTTAATGTTGGACTTGTGGGCTTGGGCAGCATTGGGTTGGGATGTTTTCGTGATGCACACTTTCTTTACATAAAACTCTCTTATACATGAGTTGCTGTGGATTTGTTTCTCTAAAGTACCTAGACTAATACAGACCTATATCCCTACATGTCTATGTTTATACCTCTATAAATGTCTTTTGCCTCTTAGTTCTTTCCTTTATTTCCTTTTACTTTTCTCCTGTCCCACTATCATGTTTGACCATCATTTGACTCTCTGTACTTCCTCTTGGCTACATTGCGCTTAATCGAACCCCAGGCATTCTATGGCCTCCTTGCCATTGATTTTAGATCTCTTGTTGTTCCCTTGGCTCTAGGTTTTTTGATCCCCTTCTGTTCCCCTCCCACCCCCAACTTCTCTCTTAAAGAAATTCTTAGTGAAAGCTCTCAACCAATTCTTTTATTTTAGCCTGAATAGTTTTCTAGCATTCATCGGCACCTGGTAATTCTGGTTATATAGTTATTTTGCTTGATTTAGGAAACAGCTTTTTCTAGTCTTCAAATCAGTTGCTGCTTGTTTGACTACAATTTTTATTTTTTTAAGAGCATAGTTGACGTAATTGAAAAGTAGAGTGATAACATATAGAAAAGCCTTGAAAGTGAAGTTTAGGGACTTGGAAATGGGGAACTCTGAAAGGATTTTAACCAGAAGAATTGAGTTAGCTAGGATCCTCTCTACTTCTTTCTATCAGTATTTATTAATATTGTTGATATTTAATTTGTTTTCAGAACCATTCTTATGATTCAGAGGGTATAAAAGATAGAAAAAATGTTTCTCATATCTACTCAGTGCCTTTCTCTGAAAACAGTCTATTATTATTCTATATTGTGTATCCCTCCAGAGATTTTATTTACATATGTAAGGAATTGCGTATATCTGTAAGTGTATCAAAACAGGCTTTTATGAGGATGAATCAAAAGATAATGCTACAAAATCACTGCACCCTTTTAAACAAAAATATCAAAATGTGAAACTTCTGTTTCTTAAAGTTGTATGTCTGTTTTTTACATAAGCTTTGAACCCAGTTATCTTGTTTTCACCCTGAATGTGATTCCCATTTTCAGCGATTCCTGGCGCTTCTGATTACTGAGTTTTGTGATGGATGGTGACTTTTTAACCCCAATTGCTGACTTAGCTTACAACTTTTTCTAATCTTGTAAATCAGTTGCTGCTTGTTATTGTGTTTGCCAGCTACTAAATTTTATTGCTGTTGCTCCTCTTTAAAGTGATGTTAGATTTGGAGAGGGAGTGAAGTTAAATATATGTGTTTGATCTGCTATTTATAACTAAGTTGTAGTTTACTTTTTGAAGTATTAAAGAACTAAGATAAAGAAAGTCATTGCTTCTTTTGACTGTTCGGATGGAAAGAGGTTGGCCATACCTTTGTCATTCTTACTTTCTGTGGCTGATAGTACAATTCTAAATGATGTTGAAGATTTTTTATTTTCTGAACAGCTTACTTATTTTCTTCTCCTTGAGGCATCGACTGTTGAAGTTGGTGGCATTTTTAAGCTATTTTTCTTCTTGTTAGGTACAGCTGGGTCTGCTCTGACTCATAACAACCCTAGGTATAACAGAATGAAGCACCACCCAGCCCGGCACCATCCGTACAGTCGTTCTTATGCTTAAAAGAGAGCATTGTTGGAGCCACTGTGCCAGTCCATCTTGTCTTGGGGCTTCCTCTTTTTTGCTGACCGTCTATTTTCCCACCTATGATGTCCTTTTCCAGGGACTAGTCTCTCCTGATAACATGTGCAAAGTACATGAGAGGAATTGCC